GATAATTATTGCACAGTCCCTTACTCCCTAGCCTGTCCTGGGCTCTTCCGTGAGGTTCGCTCTACACCCACTACCCGGACCACATTCTACATTTACAACATAAGATGACTCAACTCACATGCTGACTTTTTACGGAGGGAGGAAAACTGGAAACCTGGGGAAAACCCCTGACAAGGGAGAAAACAACACACTAAACAAAGTCAGTCTACTCACAACTGGTCCTTATGATGATAACTGATAATGCACCTGTCATTCCCCCACTGCGCGAGATTCACGATATATACCCCACGTGACAACATTTTAAAGCTCGAAGTTACTGTACAAAGAACAAAGTAAGACTATGAATGACATTTTACTAGATTTGTTACTGTTACCTGTTAAAAAGGTTATCGTATGTCCTTAACTTTGCTGTTACAAAATCTTGTTGAATAAAGTGATTTTTGAATAAACTCCGCCCCAGAATAAACAACGCCGCAGCTGGATCACGAGAAATGAAAATAAACGCCGCGGCGTCTATTCGAGTAAATACGGTATATAATTAATAGCACTGAACTCACTGAAGTTGATGAATATTACTAGTGTATATTTTCTGTGTATAAGCCCAATAGCTATCAAACTTGTCAAATCTTATTTACTACATCTTTACATTTATTATATCCGAATTAAGGCAAAGGCTGGATTTTGGTTTCACACGGCTAAAGACTGCGTATGATCTTAACTGTTGATGATAAGGTATTGTATTGAGATGGAGCCTGACAAGAAATCACAAGTCATGGCTTTACCAAGTCTTGTAATTGGAATGAGCACAACTGAAAACCTTTAAGGTCGATCCATTGGAGGGTAAGTCTGGATTTTGGGTTCACACGGCCCGAGAATGCGTGTGATCTTAACTGTTGTTAGTAGTGTATTCGTGAGATGCAATTGCAAAGAAAAAGATGGAATGAGCAGAAATGAAAGCCTTTAACAAGGATCCATTGGAGGGCAAGTCTGGATTTTGGGTTCACACGGGACGAGACTGCATGTGATCTTAACTGTTTGATAGTAGAGTATTGATATAGAGACTAACAAGAGATTCTTGCAATTGGAATGAGCAGAACTGAAAACCTTTAAGGCGGATCTATTGGAGAGCAGGTCTGGATTTTGGGTTCATAGGGCAAAAGACTGCTTGTGATCTTAACTGTTGATGGGAAATGTCATGTATTTAGAGGGAGCCTGACCAGAAATATGAACTGACATGGCCTTACTAGGTCTTGCAATTGGAATGAGCAGAACTGAAAACCTTTAAGGCGGATGCATTAGAGGGCAAGTCTGGATTTTGGGTTCATAGGGCCAAAGACTGCGTGTGATCTTTACTGTTGATGGGTAAGCTCATGTATTGAGAGGGAGCCTGACAAGAAATATAAAGACATGCCCTTACTAGGTCTTGCAATTGAAATGAGCACAACTGAAAACCTTTAAGAATTGACAACCTTTAAGGAGGATCCTTTAGAGGTTCAGTCTGGATTTTGGGTTCACACGGCCAAAGACTGCGTGTGATCTTATCTGTTGATAGTAAGGTATTGTCGGGAGCTGAGCCTGACAAGAAATATGAAGAAATGACATTTCTAAGTGTTTTAATTGGATTGAGCACAACTGAAAACCGTTAAGGAGGATCCATTGGAGGGTAAGTCTGGATATTGGGTTCACACGGGCCGAGACTGCGTGTAATCTTAAATGTTGATGGTAAGGTATTATATTGAGAGGGAGCCTGCCAAGAAATAACAAAACGTGGCTTTTCTAAGTCTTGTAATTGGAACGAGCCGCACTTAAATCCTTTAATGAGGATGCAATTTACTTATTGGATAAAGCGGAGGCGAACCGCAAAGTTCACGTTCTGTATTTAAGGTGTCTCTATTGCAGACCAATCCGAGTCGAAGACACTGTCAGGTTGGGAGTTTGACTGGGGCGGCACATCTGTCAAACGATAACGCAGGTGTCCTAAGGTGAGCTCAATGAGAACAGAAATCTCATGTAGAACAAAAGGGTAAAAGCTCACTTGATTTTGATTTTCAGTATGAATACAAACTGTGAAAGCATGGCCTATTGATCCTTTAGTAGTCTATAGGAGTTTTAAGCTAGAGGTGTCAGAAAAGTTGGCACAGGGAAGAACTGGCTTGTGGCAGCCAAGCGTTTATGGCGACGTTGCTTTTTGATTTTACGAAGTCGGCTCTTCCTATCTTTGCGAAGCAGAATTCGCCAAGTGTTGGATTGTTCTCCCACTAATAGGAAACGTGAGCTGGGTTTAGACCGTCGTGGGGCAGGTTAGTTTTACCCTATTGATGAAGTGTTGTTGCGAATAGTAATTCTACTCAGTACGAGAGGAAGAGCAGATTTAGACAACTGGAATTTGCACTTGGCTGAAAAGGTACCATCTGTGGATTATGAATGAATTCCTCTAAGTGAGAATCCGTGCTAGATTGCAAAGATAATGACCTCCAGACGATTTTAGGCGAACAAAGATAGGGGCCTCGATTGCGCGGGACACTGCGTCCCAACGTAACAAGGCGGACAATACCCACCAAGGCACTAAAGGATATCAAAGGTTTAAAATTTCTGGAGCTAAAACCTTTGCAGACCAAAGTTGTAGAGTAGCGTTGTTGTTACGATCTTCTGAGATTAAGTTTTGTTTTTCACCCAACACAACATACTCCTCCTTGAGAACAGTTGTCATTTCTGGGCCTACCTTCGTCCTGTCGGGCGTCGTGAACCAGGCCTGGATGTCTTGTTCTCTTTGGACGATAACTTCTTTATCTTTTTATCATTACGTCAATTCCCAACATACACTCATGCCATTCAGGGTTAGGATTAAAAAGGGGTAATACTATAACCGTGCTGAAAATGAAAGCAAATGATCGTAATTCGGATGTTGCACACCGATAACACTATTTACACAAAACATTGGAGTCATGAGGCAATGTTTTACAGCATTCCCCTTTTAACCCTTTTAACGGCTTCGAGCTGAAATCATGTGAAGACGCCTTTAGCAGCCGTTTTCATCATCGTCATGTAACATTTGTTATCACCGCCACCGCCATCTCCACAAGTCATTATGACCATCATCATATCATCACCACCACCACCATCATATCATCACCACCACCATCATCATCACCACTACCACTATCATCATCACTACCACCATCATCATCACCATCGTCATCATCCTCACCATCGTCGTCATCCTCACCACTACCACCACCACCATCATCATCACCATCACCGTCATCATCACCATCGTCATCACCATCACCACTACCACTACCACCACCATTATCATATCATCACTACCACCACCACCACCATCAACAACGACAACGACAACGACAACGACAACCACAACCACAACCACAACCACAACAAAACAACCACTACCACAACAACAACAACAACAACGACCACCGCAAGAACAGTAACCACCATCATTACTTCAACAACAATAATTTTATTTGCACTCTTACATAAAAAGATATTTAAAAGATACATATGCATAGATATAAATATTAGAAAAGAGAAAATAACGTAGCAAAAAAAAAATTGGTATCACCATCAAAAATATGAACATAAAAAACTTTACATGAGAGTCAAAAATCAAAAATATGGAAATCAAAAACCTTACATGAGGGTGCCAGTGTGGGTACCCAATTTTTGATTAACTATTAATTTTCTAGCCTAATGTCAGTTAACAGTTAACAGTTAACCATAATACTAACTAAAATCATGAAATAACATGCGGTTAACTGTTAATTACTAATTTTAGGTCTCAGTTAATTACTAACGCCATTGGCACACTCTTACAGACTTTTTATGGAAATCATTCAATTGGTGCTTATATTTGAAGTACTCGATACATTCCCCATATCCAAGGGCGGATCCAGCCAAAATTTTAGGGGCTAATTGAGTTTGGGGGGGGGGGGGGGGTAATTGAGTTTCTTCCGTCAACACAACGGAATACAATATAAAAAAGCATCGTTTTTTTCTGCTGAAGCCCCCCCCCCCCTGGATCCGCCTTTGATATCCCAGGCATTCACACTGTTAGATATGCGTTGAATTCAAGATGATCCCGACTTCACTGTGTTCACCCCTAACCCTATTCCCTTTGTAGGCGCAAAGGTAAATAGGTGTTGATGAAAATGGAAGAACTAAGACCCCGTCCACACTTTTACGTTTTTATTGGTAAATGCATAATTTTGTAAACGAATTCTGTCCGTCCAAAAGTAAATGGTCATCGTTTATGAATCGGTTTTCAGCCGTCCACACGATTATTAGGATTCAAGGATTGTCATTCGATCCAAGATCTCTGATAGCATTACACCTGTCCTTAGGAAACTACATTGGCTCCCGGTCCTATGAGCGAATTACTTTCAAGATCCTGCTGTTGACATACAAATGCCTTAACGACCTTGCACCCCAGTTCCTCTCTGGTCTCCCGAAGTTGTATCAGCCCAAACGTACCCTACGTTCCTCCTCTAAATTTCTGCTTGTGACTCCAAGACCAAAGACATCAACGTTTGGAAAAAGGCTGCACCGGCACTCTGGAACAATCACCCTGATGCAATTAAGTACTCAAGTTCAGTTCCAGATTTTAAATCTGCACTAAGACACAACCTGTTCACCAGGAGTAACTGACTTTTTTTGCAATTTTTTCCACAAACTTGATATTTGTCTTGTCCTTTTGTAAAAAGCATCGAGACGTTGTATGATGCGTTTGTAAAGAACTTTATATCATTATTATTTTTTTATCATCATCATCATCATCATTATCATTATTATTATGTGTATTATTAATATTGTAGTGTAATATTTTCCCCCGGGTATTGTTATTTATGAGATGGTAATGAGGAAATTATGGGGAATAGCGATGGCCTGGGACACGCCTAGGGCAGGGCAAATGTGGGATGGCGGGTGGGGCGCATTCAATGTTTAGCAAGCGGCTGCCTCGAGTGCAGTGCCCGGGGGAGGGGGGGGGGGGTACTCCACCAGAATTTGGGTAGGAGTGTTCCGCTGGGATTCTGAAAGGGGTACCCTGTTTATGACAAAAGATATAATTAATTGTACTGAGTTCCTGTTTCAATTATCATGTCAGTTCGCGTATTGTTTTTTTTTGACGACCATAATAACCAGTTCCGGTCAATACGAAAGTAGAAACCCCGAATATGACAGGAAACTCAGGAAGAACTTGGAATTTGAGTGAAATTGCATACCCTGTTTATAACAAGAAGCTCGAAAAACCATACCCTGTTCAG